AGATAGGAACTTGTTCGAAGAAATGAAGTGGGAACACCCTGAACGTTCCTGGCCCCCTCACTCGAGCAACCCCAACCCCGCCCTCTTCGATGCTGAAGGGGCGGAGGCCCCCTGGGACGCGATCGATTTGAAGTGGCTTGATGTTTGTGTTGATGGTTCGGCGTTAAGGCATCCCTTAAGGGAACCCTCCAGGGCCTCCTATTATTGGATTTTCTTGGGGCCCAACTGTGATGAGCGGGTTGCTACCGCTCGAGGTGCGGTTTTTGACACCCTCCCCCAGACCTCCCAGGCTGCGGAACAGCAGGCTATGACCCTCCCCCATGTTGCAGACCTACGGGGGGACCTAGGTTCGGGGACAACATGAAGGTGATCAAGATTTGCTCCTCGCCGGTTGTGATCCAATGCTCGAGGAAGCACCGCTACGCAGGTTTGCGGCGAGGCTCTCTGTTGCGCGAGAAGGCTGATCACCAGCCTCGGTTTTGTCATGCGCCCGCCCATCGTGCGATGAATACGATTGACCAGCTCCCACTGGAGGAGAAGAGAGTTGCTTTGGGAAGTTAGTATGCTGACGCCCAAGCCAAGAGAGCTCTCCTCGACCACCCCCAACCCTCTCGCTTGGAATCCCAGGTGGCCGAGTGCAAGATTGACCAGCTTAAAGCCATTGCCCGTTTTGCGGGCGAAGATTTGGCTGTTTTCCCGCAAGATAGAGGTGATCGGAGTTTGAGCTCTGGTCCTAGGGCCAAGTTGCTAAAATCTGGAGGGTGGCACGTTTGGCAGGAGCTTGAGCATGGGCGTGCCAGATGCCTCCGATGTTAAACCCTCTCTCGGGACCAGGGCTCCAGGCCCATTCTGGGCTGTAAAGGTATGCGTAGGAATATTAGACGAAAGCTGGATCTGACTCTAGGGCACACCCTGGCACACTGCACGGTGGTCCAGGGTTCCGATGAAAAAGTTGGTTGTTTTTCTGTACGGTCTGCGGAGCCTACGCGACCCGCAGATGCCGTCTCCTGGGGAGAGAGTGCCAGCAGCGCAAGCTGGGCAGTGGCTCCCTCGCTTTGAGACTGATTTATGATGGCCAGTTTCCTCAGCATCAGTCGAATGCCGAGGTCACGACGACTTCCAGACGCGGAGTCGCGAATATGTGCTACGCTGCCGCGCTCCCGCCCCCAGACGAAGTTACGCTGCAATTTGCAGCGGCTGGCCTCGTTCAGACTGAGGACATGAGTGTTTTGAGCCTGCGTGTGCGGGCTGGCTGCAGCCTCGGCTGGCGCATAAGGATGATGTGCACGCGTTTCGACCCCCATGGGCCAAACAAAAATATACAGAAGGTGCCCACTGCATTCTTGGGCGCCCACGCCCGCGATGATGATGTTCCCTTTTGGGACTTCGCGCTCCAGGCTCGCACACAACAAACTTTCGTAACACATTGTCTGCGGCGGAATCTGCGCTTCTGTTCTACAAATTGACTGTCTGCAAAGTAACTCTGCGCTCATTCGTTACGCGTTCGCTCTTCCTCGCACCTTTTCGTTGGACACCCTGGAGTGATACGCATGTGGCGCCTTCACTGTTTGTCTCGAACATGTTGCTGGGAAAGCATCAAATTGGTTACGATCCGCCTGAAGTAACCGGAGTGGCTCCAGGTTATGTGCCAATTTTGGGAGCACGTTCGCGTGGCACCAACATTTTGCCAATGATTGGAATACCCGTTTTGCTTTTCCAATTATTATGGTAATTTCCGGCTTGCTGTCCATTTTCGTATTTACTCCCGGATAATTGTTTTGTCCCACGAGTCCCAAAGTTCCCGGACGTGGCATGCGCACGTCCATTGCTTCGCATTTGCATCAGAACTGAGCTATCCCAATTAAGCTCTAATCCATAATTCGTGCCTTCCTCGATGAGAATGTCAAGACGCGCTTGTAATTTCACGGCGCTCGCGCTGAGAAGGACCGTGTCGCCCGCATACAAGAGATCATTGTATACTACGTAATCGGGCTCTGTGAACTCAGCTGCCCTGTCGCGGAATGCTTCGTCAACATCAAACATCATCACGGTCCGCACGAGTATGAACAGATAAGGAGACCAAGGGCAGCCTTGCGCGATCCTTGTGTTTTTTGGTCCCATGAGGAAGAATCGCCGCCAGGATCATTGAGATCTAATTTTCGTTCGTGATAAATTTGTATTATCATTTCTACCATCTGAGCCGGGATACCAGACTTGGTAAGAGTCGAGAACATCGCGTCGTGTTTGATGCGGTCAGACGCTTTCGCCCAATCGAGTACTGCCAGAACGCCTGGTTTCTCTGCAGCATACGCAGCATCGAAGATGTGCCGTTGAGATTGCATCAATTATGTTGCGTTTGGGACTGAATCCCAATTGCGGCGGCCTGATGCGATCTTCCGCCCCGCCTTGTTGAATACGTTTTTGCAGCATCCATGCCAATACTTTGCATCCCACTGTTAACAAAGAAATGTGGCGGTCATTTTCTGGTAATCCCGCACCGTTTTTTTGTACAGTAGTACAACCTTTACAGTCTTCCATTCTTTCTTTGGGGCTCCCTGGGGGTTCTAATTCTCTTTCAGGTGGGGCCTCTGAGGCCCTGTTGGTTCTTGGGGACCTCTGGGGGTCTAGAGGGGGTCGCTTGGTCTTCGGATGTGATCCCGAGGGCCTCGTGGGACGTCTTGGAACGCAGGAAGCCCGACAAGGCGAAAGTGCTAAGGTTAAGATGAGTCAACAACAAATCGCGTATCAATGGTTCTGACTTATTGGTGTCCTCTTGAGGGTCCTCTTGGGGCCCTCTTGGGGCGTCTCGGGGGCCTCGTGGGCCGTCTGGTAGGCATCTTGGCCGATCTTAAGGCCCTCTGCGGGGAACTCAGAGCCCTCACGGACTTCTTTGGGGCCATCTTTGGACCCGTTTGGGCCGTCATCGGCCTTTCGGGCTTCTGGCGGAGTCACGCGATAAACCCCCCAGGTCACGCGGGAAGCGCCGTGCGCTGGGGTTGTGTGTGCATTTCAGACATCACAGGGCAGAGCAAGAGTGACGCTCGAGATTTCGGCTTGCAGGAGAATTTTGGTGTATTCAGGCATGTAGAAGATTCTGGGCGGCACGTGCAGGGGTGTGAAAGCATTGCGTTGGTTACCGCGGAAGGAAGAAATTCAAGACGCAGCACAGCAACGCGAAACAGTGGAAGCGGGCACAACCGAGAAACCCACGGACCCCCCGAGGACCTGTTGGCAGATAGTGAGTCCCCGAAACCATTGGGAGACCTTTGGGGAGACCCCGAGCAACAGTCCCCCCGGGACCCGTGGGAGGCCAGCCCACGCCATCGGCCTTTTCACAGAGAACGAGCAGGACTCTCAGGCAGAGCATGGTCGGAGAATGAGCCACATCCTCCTCCCCCTCCGAGCTAGAGAGAAAGAGAGAGAGAGAGAGAGAAAAATGAGAGAGAGAGAGAGAGCAGTCTGTCACTGTCGGGCTGGCGAGTCCGACCTAGCCAGCTCTGATCAGCTTCCGATCGAAGCGTGGCACAGGTGCTTTGTATGACCATGAAGAAAATACAGTTATCATTCACGTTTGAAACACATTGCCATCGATTTCGGCCACCATACCTGTACAACCGCTTCATTGTGTTATTAGCATGTTTGAAGTGGTATGTTTCTCAGTATCCTCCATCTGAAGAGCGCGCCGCCGTCGCATTCGTTCCTCATCCGCCTTCAGACCTCGTTGCATCTTTCAGACGCTCGATCAAAGGGTACTCGCCGCTCAATCAGTCCGTCGGTCTCGTTTGCACTGAGTCCAATGGATCAAGGCGTGCTTCGTTACGACCCGAGAGGGGCATCTTCAGGATCCGAATGTCTGATTTGATTGGTTGTGGTTCGTCGAGGTTCACGATTCGTGTGTTCAGTGTTTCGTGGCTAATGTTTGGTAGCTTGGCGGTTGCCATTGTTGGTCTGTCGTAGCTCGAGGTTTGCGGCTCGTGATTCGTGCTTGGTGGTTCGTGGTTTCTGATTTTTCGTTTCTCGAGGAGTCGTTCCTCCTCACTCTCTGGCACCCGACAACGACCACAGCACCAACAACCTTAGCGACGACGCAGACGATAACCCATTTCAGCGCGAAACACCCATCAAGCCCGACATGCATAGCGAGAGCGGCGAAGACAGCACAATTGCAGACCGTCGGAACATTGAGTCGAAAACATTCAGAGAGCGACACGACGAGCCGAGCACCTTATGAAGCTTCACGGCATCGATAGTTTCGTGACGATGCGTGGGCGAAAAGTCTGGCGCATGGTTTCAAGAGTCGCAGTCCACGGCCGAACAAGGTGGATTTGGCGAGTGTTACGTTGGCAGCCAGACCTCAACTGGCGCCAGAAGGGACAGAGATAGCACGGTAGCCAGCCAACGCAAGCGTTGGGACGATGAAATCAGCGCTTTTGCACGCCAGCGCAGAACAGACCTCAACCGACCATCCATACAGACCCAATCGGAGGACAACCAAACGACATCACATGGACGCAAACAGCCCAATCTACCGAAACATGAGCGGCGCTCGAGCATCATTGCACCGACGTCACACCAGTAAACACCCAGCACCAAGACCCAGAAAATGAACGTTCAGAGAAATGTCGAGACAACGCCCAGCCCGCGCTCACAGCGTCACCAAATATTGCCTGCTCTTCTTCTTCCTCCTCCTCCTCCGCCTCTCCTTCTAACCGATTATGTTTCTCACAATGCACGTATCCAGACATGCCAAATTCTCGAGGCCACGGCCTCACCCACCTAGTCTGAGCTGGGCCCGGACGCTGTCCGCAACGGTGGTCGCATCGCATCGCTTCCTAACTCTCCGCCCAGAGGCTGCTTAGTGCCTTCTGGCAGAGAGCAATTCCTCTGGGCGCGTATGTGGACGTTGATGGCATGTGTTGTTCAAGATACGCAAACAGAACACACCTTCCCAGAAGGAGTTCTGTTGTGAGTGTGTTCTGTAATCGTGCCTTCGGACCACCATGATGCGCTTCTCCAGAGCTGCCCTCGCTGGCCTTTCCCTGCTCGGTGGAGCCGTGGCTGATGAGGACATCGTCTTGCCACCGGTTGTGACCAACCCGAATTTCCCAGAGCGCCTCCTGGTCCTTCTTCCTGGTGGCCTGGTTCCAAACGAGAACTACAAGATGACCGGCGAGGCCATCCAAAATGCTACTACGGACATCCGTCTCACTGTCGTCATCCCACAGGTCTTCCAGCGTTTGTGCATCATCACTTGCCCGGGCAAGAGCGTCTGCTCACCTTTGAAGAGCCGCATAGACGACGCAGTGTCCAAGTCCAGCTTCAAGGGCACAAAACCAAAGGAAGATACTTTCATCGCTGGCCACTCCCTGGGTGCTACATGCGCGAACTTCCTGATGCAGGGCTACAACTACGAGTACGCTGGCCTCCTAGAGTTCGGCGGCTTCGTCGATCTTACTGGCGATGCTTCCATCGCCAACTTCAGTATTCCGGTGCTTCATATGGCCGGAGAGGTGGATGGTGGCGGTGCTCGCGTTTCTTCAATGGCCGGCTTGTACGCGCAGTCGATGGCTTTCGCCGACTCTCACAGCCTCGAAGAGTCTCTGATCAAGAAGCCAGTCCAGATCCTCGAAGGTCTGGATCACTCCGACTTCTGCCCAGGCTTTTTCGTCACGAAGACCAAGGACTGCAAGTCTGAAGTGACCCAAGACGTCGCCCTTGACACCATCGGCGAGGTGGCGAGCGCTTTCTTGCACCTGAACGCTCCGACTTCGAATGCAACCAAGCAGGCTGCCATAGAGGTCATGAAGAAGAGATTGACTTTCACCAAGGAGATGGCCGAGCCATTCCTGACCGCGTTCCAGCTGGAAGGCGCTGAAGTTGCCTCGCCACCGGCAGGCGTCCCTGCAGGACCTTGGTGCAACGTCGGTCAGGATACGGTTGCTGGCTTGAGTCCGTCCGACGCTGGTAAGCTGAAGGCCGAGAAGTGCACGCTCATCACCGGTGGCCTGCACCAGTTCGAGCATCAGCACACCAATTACAGTATCAAGCAGGATGGTTCCCTGGAGGTCTCTTGTTTCACTGCCATTGAGCCCTCTCCTCACAGCATCTCGGGCAGCCAGTTCTCTGCTACGTCGGTGGATTGCAAGATGGTGGACGCTACGCGCATCGCCGAGCAGCTCAAGGTTCAGACGAATACCAGCATGTCTTGCGCTGACGTGAACCGAAAGGCCGTCGAGGTGGCGATGAAGATGCTCCCAGCCAAGTCTCTCAAACGCTTCCAGGAGAAGGGGCGTGGAGTGTGCTTCATGGAGGATGCTAGCGCTCCTGGCAACATCGGTCCTCTCTGGGTCCAGTCATCGATCAAGCTCGAGGAGACCAAGGAATGCCTGGAGGTCACCTCCATGAAACTGATATCTGACATCCACTCGTACATATACCCGGGCAACCACTACTGTAAGTTGCTGTCTCCAGCCGCTGCCATGGATTGGATGATGACAGACAGCCACAAGCCTTTCCCATACCCATCCTCTGAGAGATTTGAGGCCATCATGATCTAGAGAGTTATGCTTGAAACTATCCCGATCTAGAGTTCGCGCCTCTGACGGCAGGAGGCCGTTTGGCCACTCTTCGTTTCGCAATCCGTTAGAGATGTACAGAGGCTGCGTTTTTCTTTCGATGAACATGGCAGGCTGAGGAGCTTGTATGATCAGACACCCGAACAGCAGGAGGCGCCTTGGCGTGATGTTTCAGGCATTGAGCTCTGCATTCCATTGTCGCGCCCTGTCTGCCCCACCAAAATTGGCATGGCGAAGAACCCCACCCTGTGCAGGCGCGAGTAACGCAGGCTGTGGTCCGTTCTGAAGCTTCGTACCATTAGTGCGCGCCGCGGGACAGTGCGGACAGGGGTCTGCTGAGCAAGCAGGCGCAGGCCCGTGGAAGCCCTTGCGGGTCATGGCCCGTGTGGGAGGTATGCCGGAATGGGCGAGGGGCGGCGCGCGGTCGCGGAGCCCCTTGCGGGCCACGATCCGTGTGAGGAGCGTGCCGAATAGATCGGAGGGCGACATGGGAGCGTGCGAGCGCACCCGCTGGTGCCGAAGGTTTGTGCTTCACGTGGAGCACGAGCCGTGTGAGGTGTGTGCCGGAATCGGTGGTGGGCGGCAGGCGGGCGCGCCGGCTAGGGCCGTCAATGGAGCTCGTTTTGGGGGGGTGTGCCGAATCGCAGGGACGGTGGGTTGGGGCATGCGTCCGCGTGGAGCTCCTTGTGGGGCACGATCTGTGTGAGGGGTGTGCCGAGATGGGCGCGCCGCGGCATGCGAACTCTGCCTCGGAGGCCGCAGATGGAGCCCCTTACGGGGGCACGATCCACGTGAGGGGTGTGCCGAAATGGGCGCGGAGCAGGAAGGGGAGGAAGATGAGGGGGAGAATGGGGGAGGCGGGAAGGAGGCGCGGCGCTGCGGATTCACGACGCAGGAGGCCTGGGAGACAGGCCTCCACTCTGTGCCGGCCGCGCCGCGCCAACGGCGGCCAGCGGCCGACGTCGGTCGGCACTCCGCGGGTGCCCCGTGCACTGCCGATGCGCTGGCGAGCGTCTGGGGTATCCGCCAGCGCGCGGCCTTCGCGCCAGGTCGCCCAAGCGGCGCCGCAGCCGGGGATGGAGCGGCGGTGGGTCCTGGACAACAGGACGCCGGCGGGGACAAGAACGGTTCCGCCTTGGGAGAGCGTGCGCCGCAGGAGGCGGAGGGCCACGACGAGGGAAGGCCGTGGTCCGAGGCAGGCAGCGGATATGGATATTGGCCCCTCTGGGGCCAGAAAACATAATCCGGGGTCCAGGCCCCCCCCCTCCCATGGGTATAGTGTCCACCCCCTCCATGATGGGCCCCTGCCCCCTGTGGTGTATATGTGTGTGTGTGTGTGCGTGTGTGTGTGTGTGTGTGTGCATGCTTGAGGGCCCAGCCGCCGCTAGAAAAACGGGCGTTGCTTGACCCAGGCAGCCGGGTACAGGGTGCCTGGAACAACGCGCGTTCTCTTGCATTGTTCCGCCGCTCATCCTGTCTCAAGCGGTTTTGTAACCCACCGTCCAATCCACAGCACCGACTGTGAAGACTTGGGGGGGTCCTTATTGAGGCCTGGCGCGAGGTTCGGCCGCCATGGTTTTCTCTTGTGGCTTGGCTTGACCAAGGAAGTACAAGCGCTCGATGTTAATCGATATCATCTGACACATCGCTCACCCTCGCTTCACCTTGTGACTCGTGTTGGCGTGGACTCTTGTCTTCCCCAGGTGGTTTCTGACAAAACCGGAAGCAGTGGCAGCAGTGAGTGAAACACCATCGCCGTGTTCATGCATATTCTCATGAGATCGGTTGTTGCACGGTTTTTCAGAGAACACATATGATGTTTTTTTCGGGTTGAAGGCGGAACCATTGGAGGTTGTCAGGCGACGGAGAGGATGGACAGTATTTTTTCGATGGGACAGGCTGGACTGCCTGTTGTGTCATTTGCAGAGGGTGGAGCCCGACGGAGGATGCGGTAATTAGTTAGAGGGCTAGTGCAGGCTGTCAGGCGCATCGTTCGAGGCCAGTGCCGCGACCCGTGGCGATCTGGCCCGTGTCATCCTCTTTGTTGCTCCATCCTATGTTTCGTGTTTCTCCTGCTCTCCCTGGTGCTGCTCCTCCCTCCTCCTGCCGTTTTCTTTTCCTCCTCTTTTCCATGACGCGATCCATGCAAAATCTGTACAGGTCCCCCCTCTCAGGATTCGTCCTCATTGATTTCACCGCAGATCGATGTTTGACGGCCACTTGGTAGGAACTTGCACCAGAAGGGCTCCGATGGGCTGGGCTACCGGACGCATAAGCACTGGGAGGCCAAGGCAGTACCCCCCAGACAGGCCAGCGCCGCACCTCTGTCAGTGACAATCGAGACGAGGAGGGGGAGGAGAAGAAGGAGGAGGAGGAGGAGCAGGAGGAGGAGGAGGAACAGCAGAGGGCTGGAGGGGAGAAGGAGGAGGTGGAGCTGGAGGAGGGGGAGAGACGTAAGGCGGAGGAGGAGGAGGAAGGCTAGGATGAGGATACAGAAGGTTCTGCTGGAGGACGGAGAGGAGGAAAAGGAGGCAGGAAAGGAGGATACTCTCACGAGGTCGGAGCGTCACAGCAGAGGGGCTACGTTGACGGGAGGTTGGGAGGAAGCTGAAGACGAGGGGGACGAGGCAATGCTTTGTTGTTCGTTCCTGTCTCCAAGCAGTTTCATTTCGCTGTCAGGTCTTCCACGCTCCCAATACATTATTGCATTGTTGGCAGCATTTGCATGCCCCTTTGATTGTGTGCTGATTGGCGGCGTCATCCAGATCGGTTTGCTTATCCTGTGGATCTGATCCCGCTTGTAGTTCACTCGAATGTGAAGTTTCGCGCGGCGGGGGGTGCAATGCAGAGCGCGCCGTGCGTGACGTGTCTGGGTTTACTATGTTGTGCAGTGGTGCCGTGTGGTCACTATGTACATACATGCCGCATGCCAATCCACATCTCATTTCCCGTTGTTGTTAGCGGGCGATGTGTGGTTTACTATTGTTGTGTGTGATATGGTTATAGTTGTTTGTTATGTGTTTTAGTTGTGGTTTGTGCATCCCAATGTCTGTCGTTCGCTATGCGCGAGATCTGGTCTGGTCGTCGTGTTTCGCCCAGGTATGGTTGCCAGTCCCATCATGTACTGGCCTGTCGGCTTGTCGCTTTAGCTGGCCTGCGTCCACCCGCATCGCATCGTACATGAGGTGCCTGACCAGGCTGGCAGTGTTTTTTTCCACGCTGACACTATCTGGGCCTTTCACAGGATCTGGTGGCCAGGTGCTTTGTTACCATATTCGTTTGTACCGTCTAGACGCTTCCAGTTTTCAATACTCCTCTGACTTCCACAATATTTTTCTGATTATTTATATTTTCACAGCCAATCCCCGTGACCTCTGTTCAGATTCCTTCTCATCCCCCAAGCGTGCGAGGACCTGCTAAATCGAAAATCGCGCAACTCCGAAGAGCAGGCAGTGATATGACGCGTCATTTCTGCCCAGTGAAGTGCTGGGAAGCTGTGCCGCTCGCGTGTGGGAGGTCGTTGTGGGCTCGTTGTGGGCTCCCCTGTCCAGCTCTGCATGGGGACACTAATGCCAGTCGAACAGTTCTGGCGCACGTGTACTGTCAAATTGTGATCTAGTCTGTGCGGAGCATCTGGCATTCTCGCTTGGTGAGGCGAGGAGGGCCATTGGACTGCTCTTTGGGCCAGTGATCACACACGTAGGCGCTGGCGAAAACATCCGCAGATTTCAATCACATTCGCGATGGTGTGGTTGGCGTTTTAGGGGAACAAATCGGATTCGGGCAGATCCGGGGCCGCCCAAGGCTTTCGCAGTCTCGGCGTTCGCCTCCTCGATCGCCGCCGACGCCAGTATGTGTACCCCGCACGCAGTATTTGCCCCTCGCGCGCACATGTATCCCCGACGTTGCATATCCGAGAGCGTTGGGCGCGCCCGCGCCGAAGGAGAAGTGGGGAGCCATGGTCATCGGCTTGGACGAGGGCGACGGCTGGCTGAAGGCCGCTGGTGCTGCTACTCTTCCGCTTTCGTCGTCGGCTGCCCCTTCCTTGTTTTTGTTGTTCCTGACGTTGCGATTGCGATCGGAACTGCAGTTGCTTCCATCATTTCATATCGATCCTGGGGAGCTTTTAGCAGACTAGCTGTCTCCCGAGATCTTTAAGCACAGTTCTACACTTTAGCAGCAAGAGTCACCCGGCTCGCCCGCTGATGCGTGGGTTTCTCCTGCCTCGATTCTCTTGCCCTTCGTTTTCCACCCGTTCCCGCTCCCGCTCTCCCAATCCCCTGCCTTCCCTCCTCGCCCCTCCGCGCCCCTCGTCCTTCTCTCCCTCGGTCCTCCCTGCTCTTCTTCTCGAAGCCTTCACTGCTCTCCCCCTCCTCATCTCCTCTTGGCTCGAGCTCGTCGTGCCGCAGGCCGCGCCGCCGCGCTGTCCTAATTGCCAGCCTCACCCAATGATGCTCATTCTGCGCCGGCGTCGGTCGAGCGGGGCTAGGACGAGGATAGGTGCGAAGGGCGCACCAGCAACGTTGGGCTCTCGGATCTATCTGCGTGACCTTGGGCTCCTGGCAGCCCTCCTGCTTGATGATGTTGGCCTCCTGTAGGCCGGGTCCTGGGGGCGTCGCGGCCGACGGGGGTCGCCCGCGCGGCGGGAGACCTTTCCAAGCCGACGCGACTCAAGGCCCGATGCAGGATGGAGGCGGACGGGCGCACGGGGCACCCGGCGAGGAGGGAGAGGAGAGGGCAAGGGAGCGGGCCAGGCAGGGAGGCCGTTGAAGGGCCGAAAGGGGCGCACTAGCGCCCAGCACGGACCCCGGACCAACAGGAAAGGCCCGGGACAAAAAGTACGTATGCAAGCAGCGTCAGCTTCACAGGTAGATCCGCTCCGGCGCGTTCCAGGACGCTTTGAGAAGGCCGCGGCGCCCGAGACATCCCCCAGAATTGCATCACCCGAATTTGTCTCGTCCTGGCCGTCTTGGCAGCTCATGCAGCGGCTGGGCCCGCCGCTGGCGGGCTGCGCGAGGCCGCGCGGCTCCTGCGGGCGGCGGAGGGCCTCCTCCATTCGCCGTGGCGCTCCTCGCCGCGCCGCCCCGCCCGCCCCGACGTGCCTGCGGACGCGTGCCAGGGCAGGGCGGTTCTGAACTAGGGGATTCCGTGGAGCATATGTACAGCGAGCATAGCGAGCGTGCCGCAAGCGTCTGGCTCAAGGTGCTGGCGCCCTATTTGCTTGGACCGCTAGAGGATTTCGCGGCCCAGTGTAGCATTGGGAAAGGAAATTGATCACGCGCCTTAACAATGTCCCATTTTATGCCATATCCCAAACCTCTTATTCCATGGTCCTCATAATGCTTTTTACTTGGTAGCGGAGCTGGCCCCAGTAAATGGTTGTGAATTCTGTTTATCACAATACTTATCCACAACACGGCTTGGTATGCCGCCAACACCACTGTGACGTCAGAGCGTCGCTACTGGCACGCAGGCGGGAACGCCCTAGCGGACACGCTATAATCTTTATGTGCGACATCCGTGTGGCCATTCCGACAAGCGTATACACCGCAGCTGTACGCCACTTTACTCCAACTTACGATGACCTTGGAAGCAAGCGAAGGTACCAACTTCCACGTCGCGGGAGCGCGAACCCCATGCTCTTGAACCAACAAGGGGAGACCTCCACAGCCAATTCGCCGCGTAACGGCGGTTGACGCCGAAGACCACCAACAACGACGTCCTAGACGTTGTATATAACTTCCAACATTATTTGGTTGGCCATCGGGTGTGCTAGAGGATACATGCGACGTGACAACCACCACGATGGAGGCGATCATACGGGAGGTGATCATACGACACGGGGCCAATGCGGGGGCCCTTCAGGGAACGCATCGCCCATCGAGCGGCTGAACGTTCCGAGCGCCCGCATGGCCCCCGCAACAATAAGCCGCATGCCTGCAGCATGGCCTGGGTAGGGCAGCTTGCACCAATGCGATGCGAATCCACCCCCAGACCATTAACCACGGCGTGGCGATGCATTTGCGTATGTTTTGGGCGGCAGGAGCACCGCCCAAACTGCCCTATGGACCGGGGCAACAAGTCCCCCATTCGAGGCGTCGCGCCGCGGCTGCCGCGCGATGGCGGCGGTGTAGATGCTGCGCGGTTTGTGCCTTCGGAAGCCCATCGCACCCCCTTTTGCGAGATGGGGCATGCCGCCGTCGCCCAGCCCTGGGCCAACCTCCCCGCGCATCGCGAGCTGAAGAGGCATGGCCTTCAGCGACGCGAGGTTGAGAATGAGGAAGGCGGAGATGCCGGGGGGGGCGGCGGACGCGCTGGAGAGACCGAAGAAGGCACCGGCGAGGCCGACCAGAGCGGGAACGCCACGAGTACTCTTGACGTGGTTGCTTCATCAGCGGCCGCGCCTGCCCCGCCGGAAGCTGCGCCGGCCGCGCCTCCAAGCCCGACCAGCTCGACCAATCGGGAGCTCTGTCAGAAGACTGGGGCTAGAAAGCGCCCGACGGGCGCCGGGGAACCAGCGGACTTATCCCCTGCCCCTTCTTCCGAAGACACAGGCGAGACCGACCTCGGAGAGAGGGCGGTGCTCGGTCGGGGGAACTCCCAGCGCCGATGGCGAAGGGCCGAGCCAGTTCCGCAAGTTCGGGAAAGCCAAAGTTTGAACTGACATCGAAGGCCCCCCCCCTCGAACCGCGGAATCGCACAAGGCCGCCAGCGGCGGCAGCAGTCGCCGCTAAGTTCAGCGGCAAGTCAGCCCCCTTGCCAGAGGGAACGGTAGCCCGTCAGCCCCAGCAGCCCCAGGATCAGGACGCGCACCGCGGGGGCTGGAGGCCGCCCTTGCGCTTCGCCCGTGACAGCGGGCCACGGCGTCCCAGCGCAGGGACTGGGGCTTCCTCCTCTGCCGATGGCAGCGAACCGAAGCCGCCGCCACCATGAGGGCCACCTCCTCCAATGGAACATCCCAGAGAAGATTGTCGAGGCCCCAGCGGCGCCGTCAGCCGCGCCGCCGACCTTTCGGACACTGGCATGGATAATGGCAGAAGCGCTGAGAAGGGGGGCGGCGGAAAAGAATCCGTTGGGAATCGCGCGATGGATTACGATGGCGACAACGGCGTTATTGTGGGCGTTGGCAGGTGCCACGTTACCGCGCGCGACACCAAGCGCACGCAATTTTGCATCGACGACGCAGGGGGCACCCTGCAACGCGCGCGCAACCTCCGCCATGAGAAGCTGCCCATGCGACTCATCGGGGAGGGGTGTGCGTGGGTGTGCGTGCGCGTGTGTGTGTGTGTGTGTGTGTGTGTGCGTGGTGGTGGTGGCGCGGGGGGTGGGTGGGTGGGTGGGGGGGGGGGGGCGGGCGGGGGCGCTCTCATGTCGAACCACCTGCGACCTCTTTCTGATCGTGGGGATATCGCACTCATGAGCCACTTGTTGTCTTAAATACTTCGCCACTGGCCATGTCGCCATGTTCATGGCAAGGACATGTGCAATGAGCAACTTTGCCGTGAGTGCCCGGCGTTCGACATTGTTGTTGGCTGGGGGTCTCTCTCGCACATCCTCGCCTATCAGCGCGGTGGCAAGGGCTTTCCACGGCCATGAAGCACGTGGGTCCTGACGAGAAGAATGGACTACACGCCCTGGTGGCGATGGTGATGGCGGAGGTGGCGGATCACTCAGGCGAGCATATTTCGCCCGGAGATCAAAGTATTTCACCGCGGAAGCTCGGTGGCCAGTGTAGCGCGCGACGACGCGGGAGTCCTCCCAGCGGGCGCAGGCTTGTACATGCGAGCTACCACTGGCCACTTCAGGCCAGGTCTTTCTGGCCTGCGGAGCCTTTACCGACGGGTCACTACTCTGACGGACGTGATGTTTTTTATTCATGGTACACAGATGACACGCACATTCCGTCGATTATGGAGAAGGGCCTCTCTTGCCGCGTGGAGGACAATCCACGGCGGAATCGCAATGGCAAACAAGAGCAGGGACGTCAATCCATTCATGGGTGTCCTTATCTGCCAGGCGACCGCCGCGTGCAGAGTGGATTATGAGAGAACGCGGGAATCGCTGCGTTCATCTCGCGACCTCTTCTCCTACGCGACAAGGTCAAGGCGTGGCGTTCGGCCAATGATATACTCCTCGCAGATGGGAACGCCTCGGTATATCATGCAGCTCGTGGCTCTGACGGGCAAGTGCAAAAATCGCGCGTGGCATGGCCCGCTGCGCTCGGAGCCGGCACGCAGCTACGCCGCGTGGATGGGAGAGAACGAGGTGAATCAAGGATGGAATCGCCCCGAGAACCCTCACGGTTGGGCGTTCGTGACCCCATGTGGGAACCTCGGGGAATCAACGATGCATGTGTCGAACGGTGCCAGCGGAGACACACCGCAACAACCCGCGGAAACGCGATCCACTGCGTCCGTCATGTCGCGGCAGAACCTCCCAACGCCAGCGCCGCCGCGCTGGGTGCCATGGCGCCCGCGGCGATCGCAGCACAGCTTGCCCACTTTGACCGGTCGCCCGCAGCTGCCGGCCCCCAGCGGGGCACCCGCCCTACGGGAGGCGCGAATGCGCCGAGGAGGCTGGCCAGCGCGGCAGGCCCGGTCTCGCTCGAGCCCACGGGCCTGGGCCCGCCGGCAAGTCAGAACACACCTGGCACACCCGCGGCTACGCCACCAGACCAGGGGGTAACGACTCAGGACCTGCAGCAACGACTGAGGCAACTGCGGAATCGCCCTGAGCTGCGGACAGCACTTCCCAACAGCAACGCCACAGGCCGCGCCTACAGCACGGCAGCCCGGAGATGGACCAGAAGCATCTGCCCGCTACGACCCCCCTTGCGAGCGGCAGCGCTTCATGGAACAACAACGGCAACAGGGATTCGAGCAGATGCGTGCCGTCGGGATATATGGCGCGGGTCGTCTCGAAGGATGGCCGGGGAATTGGCAGGCGCCGTGCCCCGGGGCCCCGACCCGAGCCCCGACCCGACGTCGATTGGCAGGG